TGGTCACATGATCAAAATTTAGCCTCTTGGCAACTGGCATGTATTTATGATAGTTGCGCTGTCCTGGTGTCACATGTTCCCCATTTTTAACCTTCCCAACCAGCTTCCAACAATCAGTCAATGGGGGCCAGATTCACTTACCCACCACCTGCTTCACTTAAGAACTGCAGTGGTTTGCCTAACAACTGTGGCAAAAAGGTTGTAAAATGCAGTGCAACTCACTAAACAACGATCTCTCTTAGCAGCGGAAATGTGGAGCTCATGGATGATTGTAAGTCTAGGACTACTTGTATATCAAAGAGCTAAAAAGAAAGATCAACTATGGCTGGAGTCCAATAACAAGAAGGAATTTTAATGCAATACTTACATTCTGTTCCTAAAAATTTAACATCTGCCTAGAATTATCAGGCAATTTTTTCCCTTGGGGAAAGCAAGAAGCTGGGTTTCAGTGGGAGCCAGTGGGCCCTTCTGACTATAGATTCAGTACATATGAAAAGCAGTTTAGACCTTCAAGGTCATCTCCTTGTAGGAACCCTAATTAATGCATCCCTGTCTAGACGCCATTTCAGCACAGCCGAGAGATCCCCTCACCTTTGGTTAATTGGTTCCACTGTTGCACTGCTGTTATTGTTAGGAAGTTGTTTTCCTAAGACACAGTCAGAGACCTGCCTTCCTGTAACTAAATCCCTTGCTTTGTGCCTTCATGTTAGAACAGTGAGGAAAAAGGTCTTGATCTTCTGTAAGACATTGTTTCTGATTTCAAAGAATGCTGTTATATTGCCCTCAGTCTTCTCTTGGCAAGACTGAAGATCCTCAGTTCCTTCCATCTCTCTTATAAAATGTATGTTTCTTTCCACCTCGTTGCCTTTTGCAACAAGGAGAATAGAACCAAAGGTCTTATTTTGTAAGAAGTGGAACTATTACTTTTTGTGATTTGGAGATTATAGTTCTGTCAGCCCTTCAAGGTAGGCCAACTCGGGGAAAAGGCTCCCCAGAACACAATTCTGAAAGTCAGAGAATCTCTCTCACACTCACATACATTCTCTCTCTTACGTTCTCTTACTATTCCAGGATGCCACTAAAAAACAGAAATTCTAAAATTTCCAGTTGCTTCCTCTTCTTTCTTTCTCCTCCTGATGAGTAGTATCTGGCAACAATAATTGCTGTTCCTGCCAGCTCAAAACTCAATTACCGCCAAATGATGAATCAGTAATATAGAACTGGTGGCTATTAATCAAATATTTAGATATGGCACATTCCATTTTTGAACTACACATAAATATAAGCATTGTACGAGAGGAAGAATAGAGGAGATAGGGAAGGGAAAAAATCTCTATTTTTTTAGAAAAAGGATGGGCAACCTGTAGCCCATATGCACTCTCCAAACTCTAGCTTAAAGTCAGTTCCCAAATGTTGTTGCCAAAATGCAATTTGCCAGTGTGATTTTTGTTGTTGTTGTTGTAGTGTTGACTTTGGTTTTCATCAAAGTCAGACAAAAGTTTTGCAATTGGTGTTGTTTAAATGGCTTGGACGAATCTCTGTCTCTCAAATCTGATGATGCCCTACAACAGGGGTGGGGAATCATGGCCCTTTTATGACTTGTGGACTTCAACTCCCAGAATTCCTGAGCCAGCATGTAGACTTCAACTCCCAAAAGTCCTGAGCCAGCATGGCTGGTTCAAGACTTCTGGGAGTTGAAGTCCACAAGTCATGAAACGGCCATGGTTCCCCACCCCTGCCCTACAAGATTGTTATGTAGATAAAATGTGAAGAAGAGTCTTAAATATAATATGCCATCTTAAGGGCCTGGCATGAATTCAGTTATGAAAATAACACCAAAGTACATCATGTGCTCTGCTATTACTATTCATGATAATTATTCCTTTATTACTCTGTTGCTTACGCAATTGCCCCTAAATGGGAACCAGAACAGTTCCAGTCCCAATTAGGATAGCACACAACTGGGAAAGCTGGCCCTTACTCTGGGGTATCCCATTCAAAATTAGAGATTTTTGTACTCAGTGTGTACATTTTCATCTGTGTTGAAATCCTCCAATTCTCTGGTTTCTCATAACATCCTTTTAACAAAACAAAGACATCTGGATGCAGTTTAAACTGTGTTAGCTGGAAATCATTATTGTCCCTCTTGCTTCCTTTGTGTATCAGTGTGTATGTGTAGATATAGAAAGAGTTTGAAGCTGTTTCCCATTAAGAAGGAGGAATACAAGTAGTCTTCAACTTATAACCATAATTGAGCCCAACATTTCTGTTGCTAAACAAGGCAATTGTTAAGTGAGTTTTGACCCAGTTTATGACCTTTTTGCCACAGTTGTTAAGCGAATCACTCCAGTTGTTTAATGAATCACATGGTCATTAAGCAAATCTGGCTTCCTCCATTGCTTGTTAGAAGCCAGCTGAGAAGGTTACAAATGGTGACCCACGTGATCCCAGGATACTGCAACTGTCATAAATACATGCCAGTTGCCAATTGCCCAAATTTTGATCACGTGACCACGGGAATGCTGCAGTGGTCGTACATGTGAAAATTGATCCTGTCACTTTTTTCACTGCTATCGTAATTGCACAGTCCTTCAATGAACAATTGTAAGTAGAGGACTATCTGTGTGTGAAAATTTGGTGGTTATGATAAATGAAGTTTTTTTTTTTAAAAAAAACCAAACTTTCACTACAAGGGTCATATTTGGGTGTGTGTGCATATTTTAATATCAGTCGCTTCCTAAAGCTGGCAAAGCTAGAAAGTCTCTAATTCTCTGCCTTTGATCAAATTTCTTCTTTCTTTCAACTTTACTTTCCTTTTACCTGCATCGTACCATAAGCTGATATTTCCCATTTTTGTTCCCTTACAGAATCAAAGTGAAACCCTGCAGTTTCAAGTCTTTTTTTCTTTTCTTTTTTGCTGTTGTTATTGTTATGGCTAACCTGAATGAGTCACAAGATGTTCAAGAATCTAATTAGGAAAAAAAACAACGAAGCTTGATAGATTTGATCGCGTTTGTCCGTCTGACTTGCAAGACGGGTGTTTTTATTCTTTTTCTTTTTTTTCCTCCTTCCGAAATGTCATCTGTGAATATATAACAAAGGCTTAATTGTGGAAATGTTGAAGCTTTGGTGAAAATGGGTGCCAATGAAGTGCTCTTTAGAACACGGCACTGGCTGGCTGTCGGCCCAGCTAACAGGAAAATAATGAAGCTGTTAGCATATGGCAGCAGATTAATTCACTCAAAAGACAATTCCTCGTTGGCGTTGTTTTCAGAGCGGAGGGGTGAGGTGGATTTTTGGAGGAACCAGAAACAAATGTTGTAATCTTAATTACCTGACTTCAATTTCAAATTTGTTGGACACAAAGAGAGCAGATTTATTCAATAGTATGTGATGACAATTAGAACTTCAACCTGAAAAAGAGGTTGGGATCAACTCATAGACAATTGTTACCAGGCACTTTATCAATTCATTTGTGTATTGTTAGTCTAGTTAGCATTGAGTAAAGGCTATCTTGGGCTTTTTCCAGCTTGTTAACTTCAGAGATTTGGGAGCTCAATTCTTTTTGGCTGAGGGTGATAGGCCTTCTGATCCTACTCATTTGATGGGTGTTATATTGTGAACAATGATAAATCGTTGTTTTCATGTTGTTTTCATGTTCACACTGTATGGGTGCAGTTAAAACACTATTTTTACAACCTGGCTGACCAGACTATATCAAGGAAGATCATGAGGTGGTTGTTGCATGGATAAAATTAAAGGTTATCCCTGAATAAGTTGGTTTGGTGTATCAGAGAAAAAAATCATAATTGGAGTAAATAAATAAAAATAAAGTAAAAAGGCACACTTCTTTCTTAGAGGAGAAGTAGGTGTAAAAAACAAATTAACAGAAACACTTGAGCTTGGAACTAAAAGTGATATTTTAAACTTCAGGTAGAGGAGTCAAAACACATCCATGTAAATATACAGTATTTTGTAAAAAGAAAGATTGTCTTAAATTAGTTGCATTCTTGTTGGAGAAATAGAAACTGTTTCTAGTGTTTCACACTGGGAGGCTTTTCTGAATCGGCTTAGCTGACCTCCAGATAACTCCCAGAATTCTCAGCAATTCTTTCTAAATGGAGTTGTGGCCTGGAGTTACTGCACTTTGGGTGCTCGGCAGCACAATCACATTTATGGCCCTTTGTACCATTCTGCAGTCATGTGAATGTGTTTTATGTCAGTTTTGCAGAAAAAGGAATTTCTGGTTTTAGGGAAAACTGGGTTCACTTAATGATTGCCACAAAAAAACCAACATAAAATTGGATAGGTCATATGACCAACTGGTTTTACGACCATTATGACGTTTGACCACAATCCACTAAAGTTGTAACTTCAGGACCAATGTGGTCACACTTGCAAGTTGAGTCATGGCAGTTGGATTTCTTTCTTTCTTTCTTTCTTTCTTTCTTTCTTTCTTTCTTTCTTTCTTTCTTTCTTTCTTTCTTTCTTTCTTTCTTTTTGTTTTGTTAAGTTCAGTTGCCATGACTCAGTTTACAGACATTTCTACCTGGAAGACAGGTTTTCTTCGATATAAGCACTAGACTTGTTCTCCTAATGTTTGGCGCAGAGAATCAGGACCATTCCTTGGATTACAGCAGGGATCTTCAAACTTGGCCCTTTTATGACTTGTGGATTTCAACTCCTAGAATTCCTCAGCCAGGCACGCTGGCTGAGGAATTCTGAGAGTTGAAGTCCACAAGTCATAAAAGGGCCAAGTTTGAAGACCCCTGGATTACAGGATAACAGATTTATTCAGACCAAGCCACAAGAATCTAGTCAGCTAAAGTTCAACACTAAATTGATGCCAAATAAGGTCAGCAGAATTCAAGAGGGGTTGGACTTGGACTATTTGTGGAAACGTAAAGACTCTAAGCTAATGACACATTTAACTCCGCTCGCCAGCTCTGCCTTCTCTTCTTCTGTACTGATGCTTTAATTTGCTTTCCTCTTCCTTTCAGTGAAATACATGCGAGAAGCCACTCCTTATGTGAAGAAAGGATCTCCTATTTCTGAAATCGGATGGGAAACTCCTCCTCCTGAGTCCCCCCGTTTGGGCAACCCAACCATTGATCCTCTGTTGCCGCTGTCTCTCAACATCCACCGAGACAAAAAAACCATCCCACTCAAAATGTGCTACGTGACGCGGAACATGGCTATGTTAGATCCAGAAAACAGGTAAGCAGACCTGGGTGGGGGAGAAGAACACTTCCTTCCCATGATATTCATTCTTCCTTATTTTTGTGGATCAAGGGCAGATTCAATCCATAACAGAAGTAGGCAGCAGCTGTCTTTCTTCCCCCTTCTTTTCCTCTCTGTATATTTCCTATATTCAGCAGAGAAGAGTAGAAAGGGTGCATCTTACTTCGTTGATGTCCAGAAAGGAGGACAATTTGTTGGATAAGAGAATAATAAGAGTTGGAAGGGACCTTGGAGTCTTCTTGTCCATCCCTGTGCTCAAGCAGGAAACCTTATACCACTTTAGACAAATAATGTCCAGTCTCTTCTTAAAGACCTCCAGTGATGGAGCACCCACTACGTCTGAAGGCAAACCATTCCACTGAGTAATTGTTCTCACTGTGAGGAAATTTCTCCTTAGTTCTAGGTTGATTCTGTTCTTGATTAGTTTCCATCCATTGCTTCTTTTCTTGCCTTCAGGTATTTTGGAAGATAGGTTGAGTCTTCTTCTTTGTGGCATTGGTACTTAGGTATTGAGTCCTTCTGGAGTTCTTCTAAGTAGATTGCAGGCATTCCAGGACTTAAGGAATGTTGCTTCTGTAACAGTATCTGAATATCTTTCTCAAGGCCATCTCCATGGCTCTCTATAGCAGTGCTGTGCCTGCGTTAAAAAGCTTGCTGCTGTACTGTTGAATTTGCCAAGTGACAAAATATATGTAGCTTTGGTGGCAAAGCTACATATACTTTCTATTCACTGGATGTGTGTGGGGGTGTCAATTTCCTCTCCTCTTTGAATCTCCTTCACAAAACCTATTATGGCAGGTCCTTCAGCATTCTAGGGTCTGCCAGACTTCAACCTCCCATGACTTTGTTTTTTTAATTAAAGAAAAACCCTACTTGTGTAGACAGCTCGCTGCAAAGCCCCTTGCATCGTCTTTAATTGTAAGATTGTAAGCACCATAGACATTCTGTCACAATAAGAGATGTCCGCAGCCAGCATTTTGTTTGGAAGTGTCCAAACTTTCCAGGGTTGGACAATTGGTTTACAGAAGTAAACGCAGAACTGGTAGGGAGCCGTCAGGTTCTCCAAGTCAAAACTCCTGCAGTAAATCAGAGACCTTCTGACTTTACATAGCTTGGCTTGACCTAGATTGGGCAGAATTCTCACAGATATATCCTGGCTAGATTAAAAAAAAGTTCTTGCACACAAAAATGAAGTTCAATGAAAGTGCTGGTTGCTCATTGCACAACTAGAGGTCTGGATTCCCTCTTACAATCACAGTGGTTTAAGCCCATTTTTTTTTCACCCTCTTCTTACCATGAGTCAACAAAGTTCTTGCTCAACATGAAAGGCTGAAAGGGACCCCAAACCAGATTTTTGCCTGTAAAGTCTAAAAAGAGTTCATGTATTTCAAATTTCTGTATTTGTAATATGGTAAGGAATATATGTAATTACACTGATTCAAAGAAATCACATCAAAATAGTTGACTAGATTAATTAAATTTTAGCTTCATATCATCAATTACATTACGGAAGGGACAACTCACTGAGGTCAAGTCACCACAGCCAACTCACCACAGCCAACTCTCCATAGTATAAGTTTCTGTTATAATTGAATTTAACAATTCAATTTAATTATTTAAAATAAATAATTTTTTTTTTAATTTTTGTCATTCACATTTCATTCTGTCCCTCCTTTTGCATCCTTTCTTTAATGATTCTGTTCCACCACTTCTTTGATATTAATGTAACTCTTGTCCCATGGCAAATTGGCTATGGAGAATTGTCATTGACTCTTACATTATACTTGTGCTGTTGAGTATTTTCCTTATAACTAGTAATTCAGGGTGGCGTACATACATAATACTCCTACTATTTTCCTCATAACAATGATCATCTGAGATGGGTTGAGCTGGATGACAGTGACTGGCTCAAAGTCACCCAGCTGGCTAGAAACCCAAGCTTTTAGGTGACATGGACTCGTTCCATAGAGATGGTTTTTTTCCCTGAACCGGGGGAAGCGTGGTTTTGTGTGCTGCCTGCATCCTACACGTGCACGGATAGTGCTTTACTTGTGAGGTCCAGTTCCTGGCAGATCGCGGACCAGTACCAATCCACAGACTAGGGATTGGTACTGCCTTAATCCCTAGACCAAAATGGCGCCCAACATAGCATTTTTCTTACGCAGAGAATATGTTCAAGTAGGAAAAGGGTTGTAGAATCAATTGTCATGCACACAGGTCTATGTCCATTCACATAGAAGTTCTATTGGCTGAAGTTTTCCATGGCATACAGAATAAGGACTTGAACCAAGGATGTATCAGAAAAATAAGGATGGTAGCCCAACCATGCAATCAAAGCTTAATCCCTTTTTATATGCATTGTGACAAACATAATAAAGGGCAGAGTTTCAACAAGTAAAAATCCAATGAGATTTGGATTAAAGTCTTACTACCCAGAACTTAGCCACATCAGTTGGGCATGCTAAATAGTTCAAGAATATCTGAAAGCTTAAAATAATGAAAGCCAGTCTGGAACTTGATTGCCTTGATTGCACTCTTCTATTTTGGCAGATGTTGTGCTTCATGGCCAGTGTTAAAAAGCAAGAAATGGCATTGGGGGACTGAATTCCTTAGCCTAATTTGAGCCACCAATCTCTGGGCATTTGCTTACCTGGGAAGTGAGAAAAGGCAGCCTGGGGAAATGAATGGGAAATGAGACTTTGATAGGTCTTTAGTGCTTCCAGGCTCTAAAAATAGGATAAGCTTATTGGTCCTCATTCATAATGTATGGAGAGAGTTGCATCACACCACCCACCTGTAAGCCTCTTGGGCTAGGAGAGAGAATCTGTGAAATTAGAAAAGGCTGATGGGGTAAATCAGACATGTCAAACACAAGGCCCAGGGGCCGGATGCGGCCCGCAAAGTGGTTTCATGTGGCCCATGAAGCCATCCTGGAAACAGTGAGGGAACGGCCCCCATTGCCTTGGCCCTGGCCCAGGCCGGCTGGCCAGGAGCCAATGTACAATTTTGTGGTGGCCATCTATGCTGAAACACATTCAGTCTCCCTCTGACTTTGCCCTGGTACCCATCATGAACAACCTGGCTAAGGAGAACAAGCACAGCAGCAGCAGCCTTGAGGAGGAGGTAAGTGCAGCTGGGCACCCCCTTGGGGAAGTGGGGCTGGGCTTGGTGCCATGGGTGCTTGAGGGCCAGGCTGGGCATTTGACCTCTGCTGCCCAGGGCTTTGGGCAGCCTGCACCACCATCCAGCCCCCCCCCCACATGGCCTGAGAGGAACAGTGAGGCTCCTCCATTGGACCATGCCTTGGCACTTGCCCTGGTCCCACCCCCTTCTGCCAGAGACCCTCAGATCTGTCCCACTTCTGCCCAGCCCCCACAGGCACCATTGATGGGAACGATGTAGAGCTGGCTATCCCCACCCAGTAGGTCAAACCCACTCCCTCCACGCCCACCCAGTAGGCTGCACCTACCCTGGCCACATACCCCCACCCCCCCAAGGGCAACTGCAATGCTGATGTGGCCCTCAATGAAATTGAGTTTGACACCCCTGGGGTAAACGAAGAAGAATGGCCTTTTTGTCCCCTATTTAACATAAAGGAATCCAAAGAAACTTCATTAGCATCTAGCACTTCTTCATAAGAGGCAGAATCCCAAAGAGTTTGTTGTTTGAGAGAGGGCTCAGTGATATATCCAGGGGCTACACAGTATGGTTGGAGTTGTCTTATAACAGTGAATCATTGGGGTTGGATCAGATGGGAAAGATCAGGTCCATACATGAACGTGCAATTGAACTGATTTATTGCTAAACAGCCTATGCACAGGAATCCTCTCAGCTAATGGTTAGCAGCCTGCTTAGGGTTAGATTGTTGTTGTTGTTAGTTGCATAGTCATGTCTGACCCATCGCAACCCCATGGACAACGTTCCTCCAGGCCTTCCTGTCCTCTACCATCTTCTGGAGTCCATTTAAGCTCATGCCTACTGTTTCAGTGACTCCATTCAGCCAACTCATTCTCTGTCGTCCCCTTCTTCTATTGCCCTCAATCTTTCCCAGCATTAGGCTCTTCTCCAGTGAGTCCTTCCTTCTCATTAGGTGGCCAAAGTATTTGAGTCCACAGAATTCTAGGAGGGTAAGACTTAGGCCACTTGTGACTATGTAGAGATTCTAGGCTGATCCCTCTTTTAACTCCATCCCCAGATTCTGCCACTCCTACAAGGCCCCGTCCTGTCCCTCTGTAGTTCAGAATCATCTGTAACTTCCAGAAGAAAATTGAATAGCTAAGACAGTGCTCTATTGCAGATACACATTCATTCATTAATGAGAATCAGGAAATCGAATTAATTAAGTTGTTAATTGCTATTAGTTAATTAAGATATTAGCAAGCACATTACTATTGTGATAGTTCTGTTTATGGATGGAGTTATATTTTTATCGGAAGTCATCAAGCCTGGCCGCTTTTGATGAGAATTGAATCCTACCTAGTATATTTGCTTATGGTTTTCTGCCCTTTTTTAGGGACATCAGGAATTGTCGTGGACAGATACAGATACTGTGTGTGGGATAGGAGTGGAACCAGTTTCTATAGAAAAAGTACAGCAAAAGGATTTCTATAGGAGTTTTTCAGGGCTTTGTAGGTAACATAGTACAGTATGGTATGGAATACTGTAGATATATACTACACACACACACACACACACACACACACACTGTGTATATATATTATATAATATGGACTAGAAGACTTCCAAGGTCCCTTCCAACTCTATTATTCTATTACTATTCATATGTCCACCCAATTATCTGTTTTGCAGATAATGGCAAAAATACCATTACTCCAATTCTTCTAAGAAATTTGTTCCACAAACTCAGATTAGAAAGTGGATTCCTCTGTTGGTAGAACTGAGCAGATTCCATCACAATCCACATGTCAATTTCCTGGTCTGGGAACTCAAGTGACATAGGTGTGCAAATCAGAAAG